TTTCTCAAAATGAGTTCACTTGTAGGCCATAAAAACCATCAACATGAATGAAGCTTACTAAAATCCAATCCAGCACAGGTCTAAGAACAAGGCAGCTGCGAGCCATACTTATTGCTAGATTGCCTAAATTGCAATAGGTGGTGTGAGAATCAATTCCTGTACCGATTGTTTATAGAACCAACAACTTTCAACGCCCTAAATACTCAGATGTTATTTTATTTTTTGAGGGAGTCGTTCATCGGTCTCATTCACGGCATCTATATTCAGTTGTATTACTATTGAATTTTAACCACTAATTCGATGACTCAGCTGTCAATTTGAACCGTAGATTTTGTTACTGGTTTTTTTCATTTTATAGATTCATTTTTCGTGTAAGTATCCTTGCACACTGTTTTCCACTTTAGGATAACGAAACCCTAAGTTTCAAGTATTCAATCTTTAAATACTGAAAATTAACAAATTGTAATTCATCCAAGAAAACGTTCCCTTCGACAAATCGTTTTGAATACATTTGCAATTTATTTATATTATTTACAAAAGACAAGTTTCGATGGTGTTGAGTTCTCTGAGCTGTTTTTGATTAGTAGGTCACATTAGGTCATAAAAAAGGAACATCCTAGACGGAAACAATAAGTTGTTAGTAGAGCAAGAAGGGAGTTGCGTAACAAGGAAAAATACGCAGCCAACCACGTTGATAACCATTGGACGAGGAAAATAACAAGGAATGATAATTGGAGTAATATAATCTGAGATTTTAGTGGGGAAATGAAACTAACACGCAGAGGAGTAGGAAAATAAACCATACAGCAATAATAATAATAACCAGTCAACAAGAATTAGATGCATACTGAAGCAATATAGAAACTCAAAGTAAGACTATGTCAACAGTAAAATAAGACGTTCAACCCACTCTTCTGTATTGACTTGAGGCGTTAATTTTTGAATTGTTAATGCCACATGAGTGATGAATCTGCACTTCTTTTGAGTCGTTCAGTTTGAGTTTGTAAAGGATACTGAGAGAAGAATATGTGGGGCGGAATGAAGAGAGTTGACCAAATGGTCCAGGATGTTGTCTGACCTGCATTATCCTTTGAATAACCAAGCAAGATAGTGCTAAGAGATTCGTTTAGAAAGACTGCGCTTCGTGCAGCCTACACAACCACCTCCATAAGACCAACGAAACTGATAGATATGCATGTATGTGATCCAGAGGGGAAGTTAATCTCTCAAACTTTCTTGAATTAATTTTCGACTTGAGAAGACCACTCTCGGTTGAGCAGTATAGAGTGTTCTTCTGATTACTTTAGAAATACTATTCTTCAACAGGTTTTTAGTAATGTCTTCTTTGAATTCAGTATTCATGAATAAGATCTTCTTAGAACTCATTTTTGTTGCATTTTCCTCCTCATGTTCTTTGCAATGAATATTGGAGGCAACCTTTCTCATGAAGTACTTTTCGAAGACTCCCTATCTCATCGTCTATTGTATCTTCTGTGCAAATTCTTGTACAAGACGAATGAATTTGGTTTTTGCAGATAAGTTGTAGTGAGCTTCACGAAAATTAGTATACTGTCCATTTCAAGTTAATTTCCTGTAGTTTGAAATAGCCATCAGGTCACCCTCTTAATGAAATTCTAAGCTCTTATCAACCTCCATCCCTCCTCAATTGAGGGATGACAATCTCTGAATCTTAATGGTATGACATTAGGAGCGCTTTTTTCATCATAGATGCAGCAGATACCATACACAGAAATGATCGACAGCTGGAGGTGGTACGGAGCTTTTTGAGTTAATCATGAAGCAATCTGCTAGAAGAGGGACCAATGACGACCTCACTGGTATTCCACAAACCTGTTGATCACATTTTTTGTTGAATCTGAATTGAACAGGAATAGAGTGTAGCACACATAATTCCTTCAGCTAATGAATTCGAACACTAACTGCTAGTTAGTTATTTTCGATGTAGTTAAACAAAAAACAAATGGTCTCTGTGAGTGAAACACTTGTGAAGAGTGGATCAACGTCCACTGACAGCATTCCTTTCCTAGATAATTTGAGATTAGTTATTGAGCCAAAAAACTGAGTGAATCAGATGAAATAAATTTATGAAAGCGGTTTCTCACTGCATGAAGAATTTCAGCCAGTCACTTGGTTACTGCATCGTATGGAGAATTATTCGGAGTTAGTATTTAACATTGAGGTGGTGGTATCACACAACCAGATGATTTCAAGTGTTTGATCAAATCACCACTAATGACAAATTTGTGTTTCATCTTCGTAAGACTTTTGACAACTTATAATCAGTTTGTTCAGTGTATTTTTCTGAGCAGCTTCTTTTAGAAAATTATTTCTATCTGATGGTATGGAAGATAACCTAGCAATGTTATCATGCTGATCCGTACGAACAACACCATTACTTTTATCGGGACTGACTAACAGTAAATATTTTACTATAAGTCTCTTGGTGTGTTCTGTGCTCCTTTGATAATTATCTCTTGATTTTCAGTTTGTAATAATGCACTGATGGCAGCGGTTGAAAATAACTATTAGTGGCTGGCTGGTTAGTGATATCAAACAGAGTCATTGCTGAAAGTTGTTGTTGACCAACCGTTTTGTAACCAAGACCGCATCAAAATCTCCAAATCATTGCACATGGTATACGTTTTTATCTAGCGTAATAACTCAACCAAAGAACTGGAACTAAAGTTAGAAAGTGACAGAAGTAGGTCAATAAGAAACTAGCGGGTTGGTAAACGTGATCAATATTTTTCGAAATTCACTAAAAATGTTTTCCCGATTTCAAGAAGTCCAAAGAAAGTCACAGTGCTGGTAGGCTGGGTGTTTACAAAGCTGTAGACAACCTATGAACGCTACAATTTACTATTTGAAACGCTCCACCAGGATTTGCACTCGGCAAGTAACAAAATTACCTTTCGTATGGATCGATTTGCAATAAGTACTGAATTTGTAGATGATGGAATTACAATGCATAAGGGGCACTTGACAGCAATACCACCAAAGTGTAGCAGTTACTCACTAGTAAGTATGTCTTCTCTCGAAAAAGACATACATATCACATGCCAGATTGGTTGAAATCACTTGAAGATCCCTCAAATGTTTATATTCCTAGGTATTTTATACTTTAAGTCAAATGATAAGGCGAATTCAGTAATTGTTTTACTAATCCAGAACAAACGACATCATACCTTGAAGTGTACTTCAAGAGTTTAACACTTATTGCAGACGATAGTGATTCCACAGATGACTAGTAATAGAGTCAATAATGAGAGTTTAGATCTATTCAGGGCTCAAACTTTTTGATAGTAACGGCAAGATTGAAGCAATGTATGTAGTTGGTTCTGCTTTAGTGCCTGAAGCAACCGACCTGCAGTGTGAATGGGAAAAGAATTGAACCCATGACCCACAAGCTGAAAATTGAGTGGTAAAGTATATAAGCAATAATGTCTGAAACAAGCGAAACATCATCATATGGCTCAGTCGAATGAACAACACCTATCTTACCAAGCAAGTTTTAAACGTAATAAGTTATACTTCACATATATCCGAAATGTCTAGTTTATTCTGTAATCTGAAGTAGGAGTTACATTTCTGACATATACATAGTAAACAAGAATACAGTAAAACTAGTATGGTGTGCAAATTCAAACCTCCTACCCTTCGATTACAGACTCAGTTCTACTATGATCCAATCAAGAGCTCTTACTGATAGACAGACCTCAGTGTCACTTCAGCAGCCGAGTGATACACATTGGTTATCGTGAAAGTTCAGTAGGGGGACGATATGTTGATAAGCAACTGTATCTTTTAATTCCAGTTGGTTGATCAAACGGTGTAACAAACGCAAATAATGATTCATCTTCCATCTACTTGTTATGCAGACAGTGCTTAGTCACTGCAACGGAGGTGAAACATGCTTGTAATCAGGTTTCAAAGACTAGCTGATAAAGTACATTAGTGAGTGACGTCATTATTAAATAATAAAGCAAAACTTATAAAACGTGAACTCTAGGGAACTCAGCTTACAAATCGAACTTTTCAAACTAACAAACTTTGGCTAGAGAATTTATAAATCATCGGTAAATAACATTGTCCACACCGACAAATCTCGTAGTTAGACCGTTTTCCTACCATTCAACTTTTATGTCAACCAAGACTACAGGTTGGCGGGGTTGCTCTCTTTGAGCTTGATGACTCACTCGTAATACTTTTATTTTATTTCTAGATAATGTCATCATTATTAGCCTCATTAAGATTATCCACCTGTGCCACTCTTTCAAGATCGCAGATTATGGTCCGTTTGGAACTATATTTGAGTGAATGAAAAACTATTCTTTCGAAGAGGGAGAGGAAACTAACTGGTAAGCAATCTGCGAATTACTACACTGATGGAATACAGCCCAGATTGTTTTCGAGTTTGTTTTTCACATCAATTTTCCCGTTAACCCAATCCAGTCAAAGATGTTTTACGTCGCTCCATTAGGAAGAATTCTCTATTCACAATGAACAACAAAAATTATATTGTTAGCCTTATTTATAGATTTTCTTTCGCTATGAAAAGGGATTAAATCATAACTGAGAAACAAGCACTAATCCAACAATGTTGCAACCCCAGGCCACTAACGATAAGAATCTTCCAGATTAGTCAATAATTTGTATACAAATGTAGAAATATACGTCAAACTTTAACTGAATCATCACAATGTCAATGGGTGCAGTCGATTTCATGATACGATAAAAAATCAGAAAAGTAAAGAAGGATTAAAACTCTTGTAAAACATTTCGAAATTAAGAGGAGTAAGATTGTTGAGAACTGTTTGTATATTATAGACCAGTAAGCCTGTATATTCCCATAAATGGTGTATATCATGCACCCAAGGGAACATATTTTCGCATCTAAAACGTAAAAATGGAATTTCATTCACATTGTTCTTCATCACATTTCAAAAAGCAGAGTCCAAGAAAATAAAAAATCTGTGCATTCACAGTTCGCGGCCTGCTCCCTCATAGGGATTGGAGACTAAAACAGTTTCCAGTTCACGCAATTCGATAATAAAAATAACTAACCAGTGTTGAAGGTTCAAAATAGCCTGAAAAAAATCGGTGGAAATTCTGATTAGTGATCAATAAACACAATTATGCATACTCTAGTGCGATTGGTAGATTCATTTTATCAATAAACACGGTGCCTGAACAATCCACTAATGTCATGATAGCTGTTGTTTGATTGGTTGCCTGAAGGTCATATGTCGCTCAGTTACTTAAAGTGGTTATGCTCCAATTTAGTAACTCTAATAGCAAATCGAATTACAAGATAAGCTTGCTGAGAAAAATAAAGCATTCCCTGTTTGCCGAAATCGATTTCTTGAGAAAGATTGTTCACACTGTCATCAAATGATTAAATGACAAAACTATGTAATTTGCTTTAATTTTCCGTTTTCGATAATGTTAAAACATTGCATTCGGAACCATCTTCAGCAAGTTTAAGATGCGGATAGATCGTTAAGCGCTTCATTACCTGTTAACACTGATAATAAAAATCACCCATATCATATTGTCTCCTTTTATGAATCCAGAATATTTCAGAGTCGCTGTCTACGTATTAATGCCCATTTAGCTTGAATATTAAGAGAACAAGTTCTCACTTATAACAGGCAATAGATCAGAAAAGGAACCCATCTGTTTATACACACTATTAGGGCGATAGTTAACAAAAAAGTGGTGACCTAAGGAAACAATTTTAGCCTTCAGATGTAGTGTGCATTGAGATAAGTAGCACAATCGAAAGAAATGTGCATCCTGGATTACACTACTATCAACCATCATCAAACAAATCGACCACCATCATTTGACCGCTAGTTTGAGTCCTGATCCAACTTGAAAACAAGATATAGACAACCTACTCTCCAGCTTTCAGTTTGTATTCTGCTCTAGGTTCTCTGGATTGTAGATAGGTAAATGGTTTAGCATGAGCTAATTGCTCAGTAGAAAACTTCATTCATTCAGAAAGCTCTTCTTCGCCGCTTTATTTTAGCGATTTCATAGCTGTATGTATAAAAGAAGATTGAAAAACCCATCAATTAAATTTCACATATTGTACCAGAAGACTATTTAGTGAACCGGGCAACAGTGCAGAAATTACAACAGTTTATATACTATGGATCGGATGATAATCCGATTGTGTAGTGAACTTAATTAGCTAAATAAATTCATTTTCAAACCATTATTCTAAAAAATACAATATTTATTACAGCCTTCAAGAACACTGTGTATGATACTCGACGGTTACATGGGACGAAGGTTACGTTATATCGCTAATTGACAGGAGTAGGAGGATGTGAACCATTGGATTCCGATCTAATGACCCAATAGCAACGTGTTCGCAGGGAAATCTGAAGGTCCCAGGTTCGGCCCCTGATGGAGTTACAGGTACCCACTACTGAGGTGCCAGGACGAAACAGCTGTCAAGCCCTCCCAGGTTGTAAGTGGTTCTCGAACTGATCCCAGTCCTTGATGAATGACACCCTGAGAAAATAACTCTCAATTAATGAGCAATAATTGCTTTCTGTGAAGATTTTGTACACTGAGTGGTATCTTTTTATTGGGAAACTGGATAAAAGAGTTGAGAAGAATTGATATATACATCCCTATAAACAGGAGGAAACAATGATCTTGTCCCATCTTCTTAGAAGGTTACACAATATAAAGGGAATAAATGCAACTGAAATGTAGTCCTTGGGGGTTAAATTTCATTCGCAATTAACTATGAGATATATTTAGTTAAGAGGTACATAAGAAAAAGTGATGTCATTCGGTCACTCATTCGATCATGAAGGTGAAAGTATGTCACAATCTAGAGCTCAGTAAATATACTTGCAACGATCTGTCTAATAGCCACTTATCAAGGTTGTAAAGTTCAACTTATCACACTGTCCTGCAACACATAAGCAACCTCGTAGTGGTATACTTTTGTTATTGGAAGAGATTTCTTCGACTGAACCCTATATATATATATATATATATATATATATATATATATGTACGCCTGCTCTTGTGAAGCAGGGTATAAATTTCAATCGTTGGATAGTATTTTCTGTGCAACTTTCAGAGGAAGAACACACAAATAGCAATGTATGCTTTATAGCACGTGAGTGACTATAATTATGGTGCCATAGAATAATTTTTTTGCTGCTATTTGTGAACACAACCTTCCCAAAAGTATACGCCTGCATCTGGTGTGCTTTGTGAAGACCTGTGCAACATGCATCCTATAACAAGAATGATTTGTACTCAAAACACTATATTCATTTCCCACCAACCCTGCTTTTTCAGGTGTCTCAAGGAGAACTACCCTTCCACCATATGAGTAACAGGAAAGTTTCAACGTCTCATTGCTTGCAGAAGTATTCAAAACCCTCTTAGTTTTGTTCCTTCTGTTGCCTTCAGTTCCTCATACCACTATTAAGCCTATAATAACTTCCTCAACCTCTCACCGTGAGACCATTACCAACGATCCAATTCAGCGAAACATCATTCCAAGTCTCTTCAAAATGCTGTCGATTCCAAATAGGAGTTCTCAACATCCAGACCATATATCAAGTCGAGCAACAGTCATCGCTCGATAGAACCAAAGAATCTTGAGCCACTGATGCATAGTAAGTCTCTGAGACACATACAGGACCCGAGTCTAGTTATTAACTCGACCTCATCTGAACAGCGTGGTGAATCTTCAGAAGTATCCGGAGATTCAGTGTCTAACTCTTACGAACTCGTTATCGCGGAGATATTATTAGTTTGTCGAACAGAAAGAGCACTTCTAGACTGGATACTAGTGAAAAGCTATCTGTATGCTTTCTGACTGAACGAATCTGTAAAAACTCGAAAGAGTAATGAGACTTGCTGGTGTCTGTTCATAATCTTCGCCTACGCGCCCGCCGACTGCAGTTTGGATTATGTGAAGGATGAATTCTATCAGAAGTATTAACTTCAACAGGAATTTAATGGTGGTGATATTGTCTAGGAAGATAATAAAAGTTTCATGATTCAACCGCCCAGCTCAGGGAGCACAAAACAACCAAGATAATGCCTTATTCATGTACTTATACGATCCATTTAGTAAGGTGCCAGTTGAACGTTCATTGAAACGTGTGTTACTGCAACTTTTACAGTTAGAAGCCATGAAATATGGAGCATATTTTAATCGAATATGGCAAAAGAAAAAATATCAGCACTTACAAACCAAATTAACTGCTGCAATTGAAAAACTCCGCTAAACCATCCTGCGTTTTCAAAGAAATATCATCATCTGGAGGAAAGGTATTCGACATATTCGAAGAATTAGGCGACATTTGATGTAGGATATCTGAGCGACGATTTAACGTTGGTTTGCGTGTGGGTGGTTTACGTGCACGATTCTGAATAATTATAAAATGTAGGAAGGGGTAATGTGTAGATAGAAATAAATCAAGAATATTGTTTTCCAATCAAAGTTATGAAACAATTTAGACAAATAAGTCTTTCTGAACCTCATATTTCGTAGAATACTTCATAATACAATGCAGAAACACTGAGATGAGAGTCCAGAATAACATATGATTCGGTGACTTTATTGCTGGTGAATACCTGCAGCACGATTACACAACTTTCTTAAGATTCTAAAACAATCAACATGCTTCATCGAATTCAAATCCTTTCAGATGAAAATCCTTGAAATTGTATTTTAAACTATTGATGATGGACTCATGCTTTATAAAGCCAAAGGTCAATTCTGAGACCCAAGAAAACTGAATTGAATTGTGGTAACAAGAGGAAAGTTGTCATGCTTGCATATTGTTCCCTTTACGATTAAAGTGGCTTTAATTCTGTGGATGATACAAATTGAAACTTAAAATATGTTTCATTTAAAAAGAGTTGCAATGAAATTTAGCATAACTATGAAACTGTGACTCGGCATTGTAGACAGTGCGGTCCCAGAAATAAGTCCAACCCATTTTACTTATCTTATTTTGAGCAATAATATAGTACAGTTGACTTATAAATAATACTTTATTGCTCATAACCCAGATGCACACGTATCTATGCATAATAATAATAATAATAATAATAATAATAATAATAATAATAAAAAATTTATTCCATACAACAACTTTTAGTACAGTATGGAATTCTCAGTCTGATATTTTAACAAGTTTACTTGTTTTGTAATATTTTCAGATTAAAATGAAACCATGGCAGTTAAATAATGTTATTAATAACAGCATGCTAGGCAGTAATCCACAACAACCAGTAGTTTTTAGGTCATCATCTAGTTTGCATATAGTTGCACGCGGGTCGGATAGAAAAGCACACATAAATTTGGTGGAGGCTCATTCAGCTACTATGAAAATTTGATGTTCCAGCTACGTGTCCTTGTAATAGCTATTTGACGTACTTTTGTGCGTTCAGCGGTTGACTGCCGTCTGAGGTGAAATTTTCTCGTAGTATTATTTCAAAGCAGTTTGACGATAGGTTGTGGATATTTTAAGAGTGCGCGAGAGTGTGTTTTACGATTAGTTGACATGTGAATGGTTAAAACAAGTACAAAAGGGGTAATTTAATAAAATATATTTGGTACCCCAAAACTTAAGCAGACCGCCAAGAATGTGGAATCACTCTTGTTAAACAACTAAATGACTATACACCAAGTTCACCACAATCAGTTTGATGAACATTGGAGTTTCACTTGATGTGAAGCAGCATCAGGTAATGGCATTTATTTGTTTTATTCCATCCATCACCATGTAATGGACACTGATTTCACTATATCTGGAATTCTGAAGACATTCATCTTTAAAAGGCACAAGTTTTCGATGTCATGAAGAGTAAAAAGAAAGTCTTAAGTTCATCATTAGGAATTTTCATGAGATGTTTAGTAAACTTTTCATCTACCTTTGTCTAACTGTATATCATTAAATAGATAATACTTGGTCATGTTATCTCTAGTTGCATGTTTCTTTATCAACTTTAATCTACTATATTAAATATGCAATACGATTCTATGTAATAGTGAATCATCAGCTTGTTGCTTGTTTTCTTGCCTGTCGGTCACTTTAGGTTTAAAGAACAATCATAAATCAAATGCGATCAGCTAACGACTTCCGTTCACTTTCATCAACAGTTACCACTCGTTTTATCTTCGTGCATCAATCAATTGTCACTGTGTCGGTAATCAGGTAACCGAAGAGTATCTCATAGCAGACTACACTTTCTGTCATTCATGGGTAGATGAACTGTTACCATTTCTTATTTTAATTACCGTAAACTTTCTTTTGTCGTACTCTAATGTGAACTTGTATTGCATCCTTAAGCAGAACGTAGATCAACATAAAAAAAATTCATTCTAAGTAATTCAGCCTCACTGAATAGTTCAGCACACAGTCACTGTCGACACTGATAACTTGGTAGTTCCATTACACTCGAGTAATCAATCAGGTGAAATATCCAGCCGTGAAACTTTTCAAAGGGTCTAGCACTAGACATTTTCATTTTCGTTCATTGTTCAATATTCTATGATATGACACTACTGAAAACTCATCGTTAGATTTAATATAACTTTCACATTTAATTTATTGTCAGTTGGTTGAAATAAGAAGAGCATACTTCGTGCCAGTAAAATGAGCCATATATATATAATATATATATATATATATCTATATATATATATATATATATATATATATATAACCCTAACAGTTATACGAATAAATGGAATTACATGGTGAAGCACACTATTTGCACAGTTAATCCAAACATACCGTTGAAGCCTACGGTGACAAGAAGATAGAGTATGAGTAGACGAAAATTAACTGTACAAGAAAAAAGCTGAAAATGTTAGCGATTTTCGTATACAGACGATTTTCTGTGTTTTAGATGAAACATTGTAAGTCTCAAGTTAAGCGATCATCCAGTTGCCCTTAATGTAATAAAACCTCTGTCTTACGGGTAAGTTGGCTTTCACCCTACATACTCATAAGCTAATGTTTCTTTCCCTCAAAGCAGAAGTATTTAATAAACAAACTTTTCTTTGTAAAGTTGACAGTAGTATTATTCTGAACAAAAAGTACAAATTACTATTATTATTAGCGATATTGTCAATCATATGTCTTACTTGACCAGATTTAGATTTCATAGTACTCATTGAACAGCAATAGAGAACCACCAGATAATCAGATTAAAGTGAATTCTTAATCGCCCACTTTGATTCATGATAGACGCTTCCGAGAAATATATCAACGAATTAACAGAACAGTGGACTGCAAAGCAGACGGAGGACTTTCGAGAAAGAACTGATACATAGAGAGCTGCCCTAAACAGAAACAATTCACCTCATCACTGGGTTAAATGAAAACAAGAGGAGAATTTGGAGTTCTTCTGTCAATGAATGATTTTCTACAGTGCTAAAGATCAATTCCATCCCCATAAATAATTAGATCAGTCTGGTGCCTTTAAAATATTGAATGTGTGCTTTGATGTAAATGTTATGTGGACGGCACCTACTTTTAAATACAGAGAATGTCCCATTTTAGTTTTACAGTACTGTCCAGCAAAAATTGGTGGGATACTTCTGATAGCATATAATTCCACTGAAATCAAAAGTCTAGGGTTCGTCAAAATTCAACACTGACGCTGACCACTGCGTCTACCAAGTTTGCGTAAGATCAATTCCTAGTTGAAAGCCTATGGAACCATTACTGATGAATACGTTAACGGTTAATCTTGAGAAGAGAAAGGTGCAATGTACGTATAAAGAAATAGCATTTTACTCCAACTATGTCAGCTGTCATAGAGTTTCTCTATATTTCATATACGAATGCTGAACGTCATCATGAAACATAAATCTACCATCAACTTCAAGTTTTTAAAAATCATAAACTGGAGTTTCAGAAAATGATCTATGAAGTCACACGGAGCTTACCCCTAGTCAGATTCTAATGATATTTAAGGAGAAAGGTAATATTAAAAACGATAAAGTGGAGGCATCGTGTGATAAACAATCTATGAACACTTATCAGCAGTCGTGTAAGCAATCGCACGATAAAACAGAAAGAACTGTTCACGAATTTCACAGTGAAGATATGAGGATATCGATAAACTAAAAACTAAACACTTCACAAACATCTCGCTGCTAAATGATTTTAAGCTGCTACGAACAGTTTGTTCACCAATAAAGGTGAAATTTGACATGTCCGACATCCGGCTATCAACACCTGTGTCTTTGTGTTAAGCAAACAGCTCAACTGAAAAGCGAAATCGTTGAATTCGAATTTTCGCTCATCAAGAACATGTTCTTTTTTCTAATGCTGTGATACCTCATTTTAAATCGCCTCTCCTTATTGGATCACGAAAACATCTGACTGGACACATATCTCAGTTCGAGAATCAATAAACTCTGTTTAACTAATGATATCTGAAGTAAGTAATTTGAAGAATACACATTTATCCCCTCATCGACCTGTTCACCAGACTTCTCGTTCTGAATTTCCAAATACCCTTCCTAAAATATTTGCCATTTCTCGTTCTCAGACAATCTTTGGTTATGGAATATACTTAGGAAATTTTAACATAGCTTTGCAAGTCCTAATTAGATCTTTAGACATATTTTTATTGCACAATGATAATCATTGTTTAGCTTAACCTTCACCTTACCTCTCCTCATCGTAATAAGGAAAAATGTACTCAGTGTGTGTCGCAACTTGTGCGTATATATATATATATATATATATATATGAATGGGGGGGTTCGAACTCTCAATCCCCCATTTAGAAGCTGAATGCCCAAGATAATAAACCACAGCTGATAAGAATGAGCTCATTGTGTCCTATTACCTTTTTGAAAATAAACATTGAGAGAAATCAGAGTTCACTTATGTACATTCATTATAATCTAGTACTTAATCTTATAAGACTACGCATTCTTCAGTATTCTCACTCATACATTACAAATTAACTTCAACGATGGTTTGATGATGAGGTGAGTAGTGTGCATTTGTCATGCACAATTCCTACTTTATAGAAAAAGAAAATTCTAAGGGAACAAAGACGACCATATCTTCTAAGAGAGGCTTAATACAATGCCAACTGAATTTTTTTTTGTTGCAACACAGAATCCTTTGAAATAATTATTTGTAAAGTGGAATGTGAAATCACTTTGATATATCTTAGTGTTTGGTTATTGGTAATGAAGTGGGTTAAAAACTTGGTTTGGAGGAAATTATAGTCTTCCCAACGGTTGCCATGGAAATAAAATTTAAAATTTATTGACAAACAGGCTTTCACAACTGACATTTAGATGAATTTACCCAAAAATTCTCTCATGTCAAAATGCAATATGCAATTATGTTTGTGAGAAAGGATTGTTGATTCCGCGCAAACACCGTATAACCATTTATTCAAACAAATAATCTCCTTCACACTGATGTCCCAATCACCTGACAACTCATACGTAACAGCTAACAGTCAGAGGAGTTTACTAGTCAATGGAGATGATCAACTATATTGAAAAAGTCTTTCGCTCATTATTTAAGCTGTACTTTGCGAAAAAAAAATCAGAAAGTGTCACTTAGTACCGCTTTTTAAATAACCTTAACTACACCAAGTTTATCAGTTTTAACGAAAATTTAAAGACTCAGTTAGGAAAAAAAATCCCATATTAACGATTCAGTGTAAAGTGTTTCAGTTTACTATATCAGAAGATAAAAGTGGTGATAAACAAGTTGGAACCCGATATCAATAATCAATAAGCTGATGATACCAATGAAAAACGAACAATCTCTGATGTGTTCCGAAGAAACTATGTCGCGCTTTTTTTAACTATTGATTCCACTATTTCAAACATTTTCAAACAAATAAAACTTTTTAAAATCAATGCTAAAACTACTGTTTCTACTTCATTTATGAGATGAATAATGCGCAGCAAGTTGAATACGGTGTTTAAGTGATATCTCAGTATCACTTTCATGGACCGAAATTTTCTCGAAACTTAAGGATTAACTTCAAAATCTCACTCTGTAGACGATTCAAGTAGAGTTTGCCTTTATTGTATGATGGATTCTCAAAACACAATACAATCAATTGTGTCTGATACTAAGCCCTCAATCTTCAAACATCACTACAATTACACTGTTGTCGAATCTGTGTGCTTGTCATTTGTCTGAAGTAGGATTAACAAGTGACCCAACTTGATTTAACAAGATCTTGGCCAGAAAACAATGTAGTGACAAAATATGTTTAGAGAACACGGTGTTTATTGGCTCATTAGTGTAGGTTTGTGATTTCCAGGCGTGAAAAATAGAGTCCTAGTCAATTGTTTGTTGTTACATCTGTTTGCTTGCTAAGGGGAAGCAGTATTCAACGAGTCAGGTGTTTTTTTTAACAAGTAACTGCAGAATGATGATCAGTAGTTGATTCTTCCTTCCTAATGCAGACGATTTTATTAACTCCGAGGTCTGACATTATCGATGACCTTGAATGCTGATCTGAGCAAACAGTCTCTGAGACCTCACATATCTTTGGGTTCTGGAGTAATATTTAACTTCTACAAAGGTGACCAATGTGTTATTTCAGCATGAAAATTCTTTGGAAAGCATCCCTCTACTTAACACACACCATCAACAGACACATTACAAGGAAAATATAGATATCTCGGTTAACTAAAATGAAAGTGAATTTCCAGTGAGTTTGTTTATCAGTCAAATAGCTACGCAGGATTTGCCAATCTCGTGATTTTGGATAGTTCTATTATGATTGTTATTATTGACAATTTTCATCCCAAGTGCTCACTTCATTCACTATAAGATTTTAGTTTTCATCTTTTCAACGACAAATACACCACTGGCTTTTAGGTTATATATCATTCTCACATGGAATCATACAAGTGTGATGATCATCTAAAATTGTTCCAAGTATGTTCTTGCAAACTTGTAACAATTTACTTGCAACGTAATGAACCAGAAAATGGACAACTAATTATAAAAATCAAACATCTTTTCAGAATTACATATAACTTTTTCAAAGTGTATTTCATTTTTTCTAAAGTTTAAAACGACACGCCAGTCTGAAATCAACAAAAAATTAGAGTACAACGACTGATAAGTCATGCAGATTTTTACTTTGTAAATCGATTTAAACAAATAAAATATTACAAAAATTCCTAAAAAAAGAATAAGACTTCACATTTTCTAGTGTTTGTTTATTTTATTATATAATAAAAATAGGTAGCACAAAAATTTGTTGACTGGCACCCTTTCCAGTGTCCCACAGGGACTATAAGAGAATTGATCTAGACATTTGAAAAATTCACAGAAAATACCAGCATGATGGTTTTAGTTTCAATTTGTGCACTTTTATCCATTCTTTTGAAGGTAAACAAGTTTAAAATATGCGCCTAAAAACAGTAATCAATAATTTACTGTGAAACATTCAGTTTATATCTCTTGTCTATACATTACCTATATAATTCGAATGATTTGTAAGCAGAAAAGTAAACACAAATGCCTCGGTACCATGGTAACAGCACATGCTAACATTAAGTACTTAAGTGTAACACAAGAATTTTCGATAACCGACAGTTAACAAACAATTTCACAGAATTTTCAGTGAAAAGCAACCTCTTTTTCTGAGATTCGAGCTGATGTCTTTATGGGCCTCTCTTTATAAGTCTTTACAAGGTATTATCATGTACACGGTACGGTAATCACTACTTTTGGTTACCCACTGCTTTATATACAGTCCTTGTACATAAACCAATCTTCCAAGAACTACTTAAAGAAAACACTTGATGTAATAAGTTCAAATTTCGAAGACAAATGGAGATATCTTTCGGATCACAAAAACGGACTGAATAATCATTAACGATAGGAAATGAGTTTAAGATCCTTATCCTGTCCCACATTTTACGAAAAGCTTCACAGTTTACTATTTGTTGGTATCTGTAATTTCTCTTTATTATATTGGATCGAAGTGATCTACATCCATTGACAAATAAGCACCTATGCAGATGCCCCGATTTGATTGAATATTCACAGTGTATATTAGCGTATTTTAAAAGTCACTTTATACTATATTAGTATAGTCAGGTCTGAATTCTGAACATAATTGCTGATCTGTTAAGAACCTAAAGCAGTCAATTAAATGTAAGGAA